ACTCTTTCTTTCTTCCACCATGGTGAAGGACCCAAACGCAAACGCAAAAGCCAAAACCAAGAAACCCCACAATGGCCACGACCTTCACTACCGCGGCGTCAGAAAGCGGCCCTGGGGCCGTTACGCCGCCGAGATCAGAGACCCCAACAAGAAAACGCGGGTTTGGTTAGGCACCTTTGACACCGCCGAAGAAGCTGCGCGTGCTTATGATGCGGCGGCGCGTCAGTTCCGCGGCCCCAAAGCCAAGACCAACTTCCCCAACACGACAGCAACCAACGAGAACACCACCAACAACAACAGCCCCAGCCAGAGCAGCACCGTGGAGTCCTCCACCCCGGAGCGTGAGCCCACGCGCCGCCCCAACAACCGCTTCCCCTTCCTCCACCAGCTCCTCGTTTCTCCCGTCTCTCCCATGGGACCGGTTCAGCCGGTGTTTTTCCTGGACCGCCCCGGCTTGTTTCCTGTCCGGTTCGAACCGGTTCCGGTTCAGAGCGACTCCGATTCGTCCTCTGTGGTGGATTGTCAACCCAAAAGAGAGCTAAATCTGGATCTTAACCTCGCTCCTCCTATGGATGTTTAATTTTTTTTTATATTTTTTTTTTATTTTTCATATAGTACCTAGAAAAAAAAAAAAGCAGACAGCGGAAAGGAAAGGACTAAGGACAATTTTTATTTTTATGATAGATTAAAATTAATCTCCTGTTAATTACATCTTTGGGTGTAAATAAGTTTAGATCTTTGGAATTGACAAAGGACATCACCAGAAATTGTTTAGATCTGGTAGTATAATTCTATGTAAGATGTAATTCTGGCTAATGATAATTTTTCTTACCATAATCATTTCTTTTTTTATTATTATTATTTTTTTATGCATTGGACGAAATTGTGGGGGAAAGAAACAGGTATTGTAGAGGAGTATGCCGATTTTGTTTTTTCATGTGTAAATTCAAACGTATGTAGTAATATTAGGTACACTGTAATTATAATTCTATGTTTTTGTACGGAATGTTGACATAAAATAGGATAAAGATAATCGACAAATATTATGAAGCAGCGTAGCTATAAAGGAAACGGTGGCATGCTTTGAATATGTTTCTTATAGGAAGGTTTGAAAAGTTAATGACCATTTAAGAAAGTTTTTTTTTTTTTTGAGTGAAAGTTTATATATTTTGACATACATCTTTTAAGGAAATTTTGTAATGGTGTTGAACAATTTGAGTAGTTGTTACCATATAAATGTATGGTTCAACTAATCAACTGTTTAAGCTTTTTTAAGACAAATAACTATAATTGGATGAAATTACAATTCAAGCTTATGTAGTAATATTTAGTTTCGGCGTCTTATATTAGTGTTAATTTTGTCAATTATTAGGATTGAGTGTGTTATCACTTTATTTATTTATATATATATAAAAGAGTTTAGCACTATCAAATTACGGTCATTTTGTAATCATATTAAAATTAACAACCATTCTAAATTAAATAAAACTTATGAAGCTACACATATAGCTTTAATATGGTATACTGTAGAACCTTTCACTCGGTTTGACTTATTTCAATTTTCAATGAGACTATATTACAAGTGTATAAACATAATTAATTAAACATGGATTGATTGCTTCAATGTAAAGCTTAATTTGTCGTGAGGGTCTAATTGAATCGAGTAGTTGCGTGAATTATTGCAAAACTATTTTTTTTCAATCAAAAACTACTCTCGTGTAGTGAATGCTCTCAATCAAAAACAAAAAAAAGATGATACGTGCAAACTATACTTGAAAGTCCTAGTATGTTGCTACTAATTAACTCAAGCAAGCATATACACGAGGCATTCATTTTCTAATAATTGGAAAGATACGAACCCATTAATCATAAATCACTTTGTTCAATAAGTGGGATACAATAATAATACTAATAGTAGTAGTGTATTTAAGGTAGTTTTGCTTTGAAAAATAACCTTAGGTTTTTAGTACTTTCTAGAGTGATCCTAGTGACTAATTAATGAGTAATGATGCTCATATAACCCTACTGCCTTAGGTTGAAAACAGACAATTTTTCCTTAAGTCCTTAATTAACGAGGACATGCAAGATCAATTCTTCGAATTGAAGCATGCCGTATAAATGATTTCATAAAATTGATTTAGAATAAAAACAAGCATAATTAAAGCGACTAAAAAGTAAAATTATTTAGACAATTATGGTTTAAAATATTTTTGATAATAAACAATTTAAAGAATATAAGATAATTTAATGGTGATGATTTACACACAAACGAACTACTCAAGTTACGCTTGTTCGCACATCTGATCAGTTGACAGATATGCACACACCAAACAGCGTTTTATGATCAACCACAAATTGTTTGCTTCCAAGTTCGCTTAGAAATTTTATAAATTTTAATTACAGAAGAATGGTAATAACATATAAGAATGAAAATAAATATTCTGATCGACCAATTTCGTCTCATAATAAATGTATCGATCTAAGTTATTTCACTCATATTAAAAAAAAAACTAATAAGTAGATTAAAAAAATAATAATTTTACAAAATTAATCTTATAATTTTTTAATACAAAAATAATGTAATACAACAACTTTTTACATAATAGGATTTTCGTTCATTTATAGTAGTTGTTTAAGTTTATTTTATATAAACCAAGAAATGTAATAATTTTTTTTTATACTTTATAGAATGATTTTAACATTTCTTAGTATATACTCTCTTTTATTTTTGTTTCATAATAAATGTATATCAGTTGTCATATGTAAATTAATTAAAATTTAGGTGAAATGTAAATATATAATTGATAATATAATAATTAATATTATTTAAATTTTAAAAATAATAAGTAAATAAAAATAAATTTTATTGAAAATTTGATAGATAAAAAGAAATAGAAGGAATATTATAAGAGGAATAAATATAAAAAGAGGTGTTTCCACTATTATCTATTATAAGAAAAAAATGATTTTATGTATATTAAAAAAATTATTCATTTGCATTAAATTTTACTAATTTTATAAAAAAATTTCTAAATTATTTTTATTATAAATATCAAAAAAGTAGTGTAATTAAAAAAATCATATATTAAAGAAAAGATATTCTAGAAAGTATCATTAAATGAGATAAAAATAGTTAAAAGTTATTTATATTTAAAAAAATATTTTTTTTTGTTATAATAAAAAACAAAGAGTAATTAATATCACGTTAAAAATCTAACATGATATTTATTTTAAAATTTATTAATGTGATACACTCTTGACCTCTAAACCTATACATAAGAAAAAAAATGTCACACAAATTAAGAAAAATAGTTAAATATATTTATTTTTACAATTTCATATAAAATATATTATATTTATAAAAACATATTTAATCACATTTATCACATATATTATTTTTTGGCTAGAAAATATTAAATTAAATTGACTTGAATCGTAATTTACTTATATTTAAACTAAGAAAATAAAAAGTATTTTTGTTATATATAAATTTAAAAAGAGTGGTTATAAATTTTTTATGCATTTTGAAAAAAGAATTAAATGGGGATGGTGAGAGAAATGAAAGTAAGGATGATTGTTTGTGAATTGTGGTGGTGGATTTCATGAATTAATTAATGCACCGACGCCGAATCATGCACCGCATTTTCCAGTATCCTCTCTCTCTCCCTGCCTCCTACACTTCTTCTCTTTAACTCCCAATCAGTAATTTAAAATCCAGATCGAACCAGCCGGTCAGACCGGGGAGATCAAAAATTGGTAATCTAATCGATCTAAATTTTAAGTTAAATTGGTTGTGTAATCGACTTGTTTTAAATTAAATTAAATTGATTAATTTTTCGATTCAACTGATGAATTGGTGAATCAAACCGTTTCAATTACTTTTTTTTTTATTTTTTTAAAAAAAATTAAGAGACATAAATCACAAAAATAATAATGAAAATTAAATTTCTTAATAAAAGAGTAAAAAGTCTTATTAAATATAACAATGACTACTTGTTCTAATATATTTATTTGTAATATATACAACTTAAATAACTTTTATAGTATATTATTAATTTTAAATTATATATTTAATAATGCAATATCTATGTAAATATTACATATATTATTTTGTGATATTAATTGCAAGCATATTATATATGTACATATTATTTATATTTTTAATTTGTATTAATATACCGTTTAACATGTAATTTTTTTATGTATTTTTTTACAAAATAAAAATAAAAATAATTTTAAATAAGATACAAAAATTGAAATTTAAAATAAAATATGAATTTATTAAAATTTATAAATATAAAATATATTTAATATGAATATTTTTTAATAAAAATAAATAAAAATCGAGTTATGCAGTTTAACTAGTAATTTACTAGTAGCCATTGACCCAGTACCATAACCGGTTCGATTACTGGTCCTGTTTTTAAAACTATGCTCCCAATTATTTCTCCTTTTCTTATTAAACTAAATTTATTATTAAATGTACCATATATTTTCATAAAAAAAAAGATTATTTTCTGGGTGAGGGTATTGTTTCCATTTAAATGACGTGGCACAGGGTGGGACCCACGGAAGCATTACGTTGCTTGGTGAGGCGCCACGTGGCACTGCACCAAAATCAAATCATGTGGTGGGCGGCGTCACGGCGAAACACCCTTATCCATCATCAATCAGTAACTCATGACTACGGATTTAATGCTAACAATTTAAAATAATTTTACGCAATTATTTAATTATTGTAATTTCTTACTATTCTTAACTTTATTTTAAATAGTTTATTTAAAAGTAGAGTGATGAAGGAAATTTCCAAACGTGGTACCACTTTTTTCTTTTTTTAATTAAACATCTGGGACTTTTTAATCGTCTAATGCACGTCATAATTAATATAATCAATTCATTGTCATATAAAATAATTTTAGAGATGGACCCAAAAATTTAGAATTGCATAAAATATATAAAATGTAAGTATTAAATTTTGTATAAAATGTTTATAATTATGTCTTTCTAAAAATAATTCAGTTATTATTGAGAGATTGTCCAAAACGGTAGCAATGAAAGAGATGATATTTCAGAATGTGGAGTTTACTTGCAAGTTATCTTACTTATTCTATTTCTTTTGTTAGATGAGAGACAAATAGAATGGTTCATACATTAGTTAGATATTCCATTGTCTATTTTCATAATTTTTCATTTTTTTTTTTGCAATACCTGCCTCACTGTATTCATAGTATTGTTGAAATGGAAATAATTTGATTTTTCTGTTGTAAAAAAATTAACAACAAATAAGATACTCTCAGAAATAATACTTAAATATTTTGTCTAAGTAGAAGGATAAACGTAATTATATTTACAATAAAAACTATATAAATTGTTTAACAAAAATGTAATTATCTTTGTAATAAATATAATAAGAAAAAACAAAAAATATTTTATAAAAAGTATAGAAGATAAAAAGTAAAAATTATATATTATTCTCTCCACAACTAAACTCTCAAATATAATAATTATCTTAACTATCTAAAATTGGAATATAATAAACATTAAAAAAGTTAAAATTGTGAAAAAGTCAGGGACTCAAGGCCTCCCTAATCCTCTAAGTAAGTTCGTCCCTGTTGCCATTTAATCACAATTCTTTAAAAAAAAATTGTTAATTTATTTACCGTATATAATAAATAAGTAGATGAATTGACAGAGTGGTGATTTGTCTTTAATGGCCCACGAGAACTGTTTCAATAAAAATCTATCACCAAAACATTCAATAAGTAAAAAAATATAACCTGTTTTTTTTGGGCTTTGATGTTATTCAAAACCTCTTCTTTCAACCCTTTTAAGTTTTA